CCACAATCCAACCAGAAATCCGGCCAAGTTCCGGCCGGATTGCTACAGTGACGTTTTGGTGCACTTTTGTTCAATTTTCAGCTTTGCTCCGATTTTGTGTCAACTTCAACTGAATTTTTCTTTATGATAAAAGCTGATTTAGCTTTTGACCAAAACATAAAACTTGTATCCCTTTGAGTTAGCTTTCCAATGCATCAAGAATCACCTCATTTGGATCTATGTAGGCTGCGAAATGACCGAAATACCCTTGACTGCTCACTGCCTGGTTTCAGCTTTGATCAATAGAAATTAGCTACTGTAATTCGGTTTTTTAACTTAGAAAACCTTCAAACGGGATTCAGATGTTTTCACCAAAGTTGTAGATCTATCTCTTATCTTCAAATTGATTTAAGAATCATCTCAATCCGATCATTGTAGCTCAAGTTATAGCCAAAATACGAAAATGTGTCAAAACTGTCAAAATGCACAAAATCCAAGTAAAAAGTGATAAAAATCTCATTTAATCACTAAAAAGTATTTTTCACCAATTATAGCCAAAAGAATTCATTTTCTTCCAATAATATAACCAAAGGGACTAAAAATAATATAAAATATCATACAATTAAAACATAAATTAGTCACTTATCACCAACAAACCAGACCAAATTGGAATCCACATCTTTTAGAGGCTATAAATCATATCAAAAACAACTTGTCTAAGATGACATGCCATAGGATAGCTTCAAAATCTTTAGAGTTAATTAATAAGAAGCTTCAAAGTACACTTACATGTATTGTGTCAGAAACACCACTATCATTAGTCATCGTTTGAGCGAGTTTGAGCACTATACTCTTCAAATAAACATGCAGTACCTCTCTTACAAGCAAACATCACATATTAGATTGCATTTCAGAGTGAAACACTATGAAGAAAATTTAGGTTTGCATAGCATGTGAACATGCATTAGAAGAGCTAATTATCCGTGCAAATGTATAAGACATTTGCCGCAGAATAATGAGTTAATGCTGCTATGTCAAAACAGAGTGCATCATTTTCAAAATAGAGTCCACTTTTTGCATATAGTGCAAAAACATTAATGTGCAGATGATGGGTAGAATTGATCTATTGGTCGAGAATGAAGATCAAAATTGGAACAGGTTTCTAGTTAGATTATGATTGTTAACAGCAACTGATTGACTTTTCCATAAACAACTAGGGAAAAAGTAGAAGCCATCTAGAAAAAGCCCACGTTCAATAAGGAAAAACAAAATATAAAAGCATAGTTTAAAGAAGTTCCAAGTACCTAACAAGTAATGGAAAACCAGAAGAATAGAGGTATAAATGCCCCTAATTGTCTGTTGTAAAGCAGCTGCAATAATGGCAATGTTAATGCTTATAGATACATCAATGAATCAAAACAGAAACCAAAGAAATCATTCAAGAAACCAGTATAGAATCTACAAGTATACTTGGAAATAGTGCATTGAGACCGTATGAAGTCAACCATATAGCAAAGACAATAGCCAATCCAGCAACCTGCACCCAGCAGAATATTATTAAGATGGTTAAAATAAAAAAGTCAATAATTAACATCAAAAAAGAAAATTTTCTCTATCTGAACTTGTCATCAGAAGCAACCATTAACAAATAAAAACATCAGAAGTAGCCATTCACGGTTTGAAGACATAAATTTAGTACAAATTAATCTTATGTCCAAGCAGTTGATACCATGCACTACTTACTCTTTTTCTTTTCCCTTCACTTTAGCTCAGCTAATGCCACCCATTAGTTGTCATGCAAATTGTGTTTTATGCAGGATTGCAGCTTGATGTCTATGGTTATGTAAAATGATTTCATTTTACACTCTTGACTTAGTTGATTTTATACTACTAATTTTATCAGATATAACTATAAATTCCAAAAATGGAACTTATTCTAGCAAAGCTGTGCAGAGAAAGATTATGTGAATTACCGCATACTACAAACAGATTGCCTAAATCCCTACTACCACAACTCTGGCTAAACTACTACTTTATTATTATTTTTTTGGCTAACCCCGTTCTCGAGGAGAGACGCCATCCCCACTTTTATTCATAACAAACTGAGATACAAGGCCCAGGAAGAGCAAGTTCAAGACTTAGAATTGATGCATCTTCCTAACGGAAGGCACCTTCATGCTATCTAGAAGAAGACTCCCACGAACCAAACTAGGGCTGCAAACGATTCGAACCGCTCGCGAGCCGCTCGAGTCAAAGCTCGAGTCGAGTTCGGTCAAATTCGAACTCGAGTCGAGCTCGAGTGGCTCGTTTATAAATCGAGTCGAACTCGAGCCATCCTCTATTAGGCTCGTTAGCTCGTCGAGCCGCTCGACGAGCTTTGTGAAATTACAAAAATACCCTTATTTATATAGTTAATTACTAAGTTATAACATGGGAATTGGGATGGAATTCGACTTCGAGTATCAGACGGAGGCTCGCTCATAGCAAAAATTACTTTCCCCAATTCCATTTCTTATTACTTCTCCTCTACCACATCTCTGTTTGGTCTTTCCTTCTTTCTTTCACACCTTCTCAAGCCCTAGCCATCGTCGCCACCACTCATGAGTGCACCGCACTGACCACAGCCACCACCGTGACACCGCCACTGCTACCGTTCAGGCCTCATTCGACTTCATTCGAGAGAAACCTTCTTCCTCTCGAAGCAATTCGACTGCAACTCGCCTTCGTCGTTGGCTCAGCTGTATTCGGACAGAGGCTTGACTTCCTTCACGGTGCGTCTTAAGGACTGCTAACCATCTGTCTTCCTCCACGGCGCATCTTAAAGCCCTCAATTTGACTTCCAATTTAAGGTTGGTTCGGGCCGTTCGGTATTCCTTCCTCTCCGTCTTCCTTTCTCTTGTCTGAAGTTTGTTGCTTCCCTCTAGTTAATTTAACTGGTATTTTAGCTGGAATAGATGCATTTTTGAGCTCAAATTATTGCTTTTTTCTTTTTTTTGCACACCTGCGTGTGTTGTCTACCTTTAGCTCCGAATCATTCCTCCTATGCTTTTAGGATTTTTTGGTGACAAGGATACAATTTTTTTTTAATTTTTTTATCTACTAATTTTCTTATCTTTTGATATATAGTTTTGGAAAATAACATGTACAAACTATCGTTTCCTACTTAAATTGATTTGCTACTATGTCTTGTTGTGGCAAAGATTTGAGCCCAGTTGGGGTAGTGGTGGTGAACTGGTGATCATGGGAGTTATGAAAAAATCAAACGGATTTCCATTTATCATTCTCCGTAAAAATGATAAAAAACCACCAGCTACTTTTGACCCCACAGCACCAGCACACCTGCTGCTCATCTCCTACCCAGCCAATCTATATAATTAATGGTTTTTATGCATGTTAAGCAGCATTTTTTTAACTTTCTTGTTTTCGAATCCGTATTAGCACTGAACAGATGACATGATGCATCTGAGTGGAATGTTCCAGCAATTTTTCAAAAATTGAAGAGAAAGGCCTGTGATGTGAGAAATAGATATTTGCTACTCTTGATGGGTAATTTATCTACCCACTTGATGATTTTCTATCCACCAAGATCTCTGAGGCCTGGGGTTTTTCATTGGACTTGTCGATAGTATAACCTGATGAAAAAGCAGGGTGTGCTGCTATTTACCGTGAATGTGTCTCTAGTAAACTTCAGGGAAATAAAACTTGGCATTGTTATTGGGTGAACCTCTTGAGCTCACAATGTATCTGAAATGTTATTATTGTGCTGAAATGTTAGCATTGTTGATCAATGTTAAGTGGTGGAACTAGAGCGCTTTTTTTTTGCAGTTAAGTGCTATTTTTTTGGGGCTGGTTAAGTGCTATTTTTTTGTTAGTTCTATGTGTTTTATAGCATTGAATGTTTGAGAGTAAAAGATGGCTGTCTAAACATGTTTTGTTATTTTCCTTTGTTCATAGTTGGATCATAATATGGATAAGTTTGCCGAAGATGCATCTTCACAGCTAGGTAGGACTGGTGCGAATTCCACTAGTCCTGTGAATATCATTGATACAGAGGGTGAAAATGACAACGAGGAAGAGCTAGAATACTCTCTTGGCGATGAAGAATTAGGAAGCGAAGACGATCAGTTAGAAGGTGATACACAAGCACCTGTTCAAAGATCAAACCAAGATGCTATTGAAGGTGATACTCTAGACGCTTTTAAAAAGAAAAAGAGAGCCAGAAAATCTGAAGCATGGGATGATTTCGAAGATGTGGAAATTGGGCCTCAGAAGACAATTTACTCAGAGTGTAAGCATTGCCAGTCTAGATTCAAAAAGACGAAGACCGGTACAACTTCAAGTTTGTTAAGGCATCGGAAAAATTGTCCAAAACGATTGGAGAAGCTGAAAATAATAGAGGCACGCCAGCAAAAACTCAATTTTCCAGCCGCTGATTCTAGCTTAAATGATCATTCCCTCCTTCATACTGGCAAGTTTGACATGGCTGCCATGAGACAAAGCGCAGCTGAGTGGGTGGTTATGCATGAGCATGCCTTTTCAATTGTGGAGGAAGATGGCTTCAACTTAATGATAAAAAAGGGGATGCCTGAATGGCAAAAAATCAGTCGGACTACCAACCAGAAAGATTGTCTTTCTGTGTATGAGAGAGAAAAGCAGAAATTGAAGCATTTGTTAAGTAAAGTCAAGAAAATCAGCTTGACCACAGACCTTTGGAAGTCCAAGAACCAAAAAATTGAATACATGGTTATAACTGGACATTGGATTGACAGCCAGTGGAGATTACAAAAACGGGTTCTCAACTTTGTGCATATTCCTCCTCCACGTCCGAGCGTTGCCATTGCAGATGCTATTTACAAATGCATGTTGGATTGGGGCATTGAGAGCAAAATTTATGCAGTGTCAGTTGATAACGCGTCAAATAATGACACCGCACTACGATGTTTGAAGGGCACCTTCTCGAGAAACAAATGCTTGTTGGCCAAAGGAAAGTTGTGAGATGTTGTGCTTACATACTTAACCTGATGGTTCAAGATGGCCTTAGTGAAATTGAAGAAATAATTCATGACATAAGGGCAAGTGTAGAGTTTGTAAACAAAACTGAAGGGAGGCGATTGATCTTTGGTGAAATTGTACACCAGCTACGATTGCCTGAAAGAGTGCTGATTTATGACTGCAAAACAAGGTGGAATTCAACCTATGAGATGCTAGCTTGTGCTCTCAAGTTCAATGAGGTGTTCCCGAGATTCAAAGACAGAGAGCCAAGCTATACTTTCTGTCCTTCCACAGAAGATTGGGAAAAGGTAAAAAAGGTGTGCAGTATTTTAGGAGTCTTTTGGAATGCGACTCATATAATATCTGGGAGTGATTATCCGACAGCTAATTTATATTTAAATGAAGTTTGTCGGATAAAAACGCTTCTAGATTGCAAAGCAAATGATGAAGACAACTTTATTCAAGCAATGGTTTGGAAGATGAAGATGAAATTTGACAAGTATTGGGGTGAGTGTAACCTGATGATGTCCATAGCAGCCATCTTGGATCCTAGGCTCAAGATACGAGTTATCAACTACTGCTTTCCACTGATATATCCTCCACATGAAGTGCAAGCGAATATAAATAAAGTCCGGCAAGCTTTGTATGATTTATATGCCGAGTATGTGGAGATGCATGTTTCAAGTTCAAGAGATTCTGGAGGAAGCTCTCAAGTAGTGGCAAATGAACCAGGTAGCAAGAGTAGCAATAGTTCATCCTCTACAATGACACATGTTACTGGAATGTGTGAATTTCTATCTCACAGTGCTACTGTGGAACCCGTTCAACCTGAGAAAAATGAGCTAGATATCTACTTTGAAGATGGCCTTCTCAGTGCTATGGAGAAGTCTAGCTTGGATATTGTCAACTTAGATGCTTTGAAATGGTGGAAAAGCACAACAAAATACAAGATTTTGCCTAAGATGGTTGCGGATATTTTAGCCATTCCTGTTAGCACCGTAGCTTTGGAAGCGACATTTAGTGCTGGAACTAGAGTGCTTGACTCCTACCGTGCTTCTTTAGCTCCAGAAACTGTAGAGATGTTGATGTGTGCTGGGAATTGGTGTCGTAGGCTACATGGGGTTAAGAAAAGGGATAAGGTAATTATGTTACAAATTACGTTTTTCATCTATTACAATATGTTTTATAGTTGGCTTAATCTTGGTCTTTATTATTTTTTTTTACTTTGCAGAAAATGAAGTCAGCGCAAGAGATTTCGTTGCCTATTCCTTGAACTTTTTCATGTTTTAGGTAATCTATATTCTCAGTTTTTTGGCTGCTGGTTTCTTTATATATGTATATGATTTATTTGGTGGCTGGTTTCATTGCAACTAAAATGGAAGTTATTTGCCTGATTTTCTTAGCTGTGCAGCAGTTGCAGCTTATTGGTGCATTATTGGCTGTAGGTGCATTTTTTCACCTACATTTTCAGTACCAAGATTGTAAGCTTCCAGTTTGTGCTGCTTGTCAAATTTTCTTTTGAGTTCTATACGTGTCTGGCTTAGTTGAGTATTTGCAGAAGTATGCAATTAGAAGTAAAAGAAAATTTTCTCAGCATGCAATTAGTTGAGTTTGTGCTGATCAAATTAAAACAGATCAACAACAACCAGCTTGGTTCAGTTTGGTGACTAGTGTTTTAGAATACAAGTTACATGATTAGCACACAAAGTCCTGCAGCAACCACATTTAACTACTCTAAGGTAAATGAATCATTGCAGAATAAGCCTGGGTAATCTCTGCATCTGCTATGACTAGATTAGTACTAACATTACTGAAAGTGTTCCAGAATCGCATTGCATCTCCAAACATTGATTGATCTTAAGCACACAAATCATCCCAAAAGAACCCTGTAGTACTAGTGCAATCTCCATACTAGCTATAATTCCAATGTTACTCGGGAAGTCTCGAATTTATAAATAAAACAGAAATAACTGATGTAAGTATTTATTTTCCTGGTGCGGCTAGACTGCCAGATATTGTTGTATTGGAAGTATGATCAAACTACAAGTATAGTTTCTATAAAGAGTTGTGACAGATTGCTGACAGTTTTTAAAGGGCAAAAAAGTAATTGGCACGAGGACAAAAACGTCATTAGCACACAGCTCAGAACATGACAGATATATATATTAACTAATCAAGGATCTTGACTAGACTATCATAAGGTAAAAGACAGCACACTAGAGAATCTATAGCAGAATATTGAATCTGCACTTCATGTGAAGAATGAAATGGCAAGAATATTACAAGTAAACCCTCAACTTATTGCTGTTTATATCCTTGTTAGGATAGAAATGGTGTTATTGTATAGCTCCTTGATTGGCACTTATTTATTTTTGGGCGTATTGAGCAGGTTGGAGCTGGGACTATGAATCCTCTGACATTTCTAAGAAGAGAAGAAGTCCGTGACTTCAATGACTTCAATGACTGTGCTTAGTTTGTAATTTGTAATTCAATAAGTTTCTAAATTTATGATTGTATTTAGTGAAAAATTTGTAGGCCTTTTTTTTATTATGATAATGTGAAAAATTATGGTCAATTATAGGCATGAATTGTAAGCTATGATTATGCTCATAATTTGGTTAGGAATTAGTTAATAAAATGATTTTTTTTGTTACATTAATTCCCAAAATTTGAGCTAACGAGCCGTTAACGAGTCAAAAATTTGAGCTCACAAATCGAGCTGCTCGCGAGCCAAAAATCGAGCATTAACTCGCGAGCCTTAACGAGTCGAGCTCGAGCTTAGCTTTTTTTAGTCGAGTCGAGCTCGAGCTCAATTCTTATAGGCTCGTCGAGCTCGAGCTCGAACTCGAGCTCACCCATTTTTAAGTCGAGCTTGGCTCGATAAGTCCAAAATTCGACTCGACTCGGCTCATTTGCAGCCCTAAACCAAACACGGCCAATCACTCCAATGCTCATACATTTTGATAGCCTTGTTAGGATGCGCAACTCCAACATTAGCCAGAATATCTGCAACCTGGTTGGCCTCCCTGAAGCAGTGGGAGAAATGAGACGGATCATCAATGAACTTCCATATGTGCTGGACCTCCCTCCGAATCTGCCACAGGCAGTGTAATTGACGTTGGAGAATCCCTACCAAAAGCAGGGAGTCTACCTGAGCACTAATATTTGTAATCCCCCTCTGAACACATATCCTAAGGCCTGTCAACAGAGCCAATGCCTCTGCCTGGATACTAGTTGCCTCTCCAAAGAATACTGAAAAACCCACCAATGGTTATCCGGCCACGTCCCGAACGACTCTACCACCACCACAGTTCCCAGGATTCCCCTTGGAGCAACCATTGATGTTCAAAGTGAACTCCCCCCTTTAACAGATTTCCAGCAAATCAATTTGAAACCAAACCTCCGGCCAGACTGACGCGACCAGTCATAAAACTACATAAATATCCGAGCCCCAATCTGCTTCTTAAATTGACCCTCAAGCAACAACTTAATATCCAAAAAGATGGCCTCACAGATAGAAGCGGATTGAGGCTTGATGGCTTCAAAGATGACTCTATTCCTTGCCTTCCAAAGATGCCAACATACAAGGCTTGGGAGAATGTAATAAATGACTCGCTGCCTCTCAAAAATAGGAAAGGCGAGCCACCAAGAGGCCAGGTGACCCTAATAAATGAGCCTAAACTAATGCCGCACAAACCTCCAAAGTATGCTCAGACATTTTTAGCAATATGACTCGTTGAGAAAACGTGTTCAAGCGATTCTACCGACAAGCAAGGACAACACACACATTTTGAAGGACCGTGAACTCCAAAAGTATGGAGCATGTCATCCAAAGGAAGGCCTCCCAATAGAAGCCGAACATGAAAAATGATACTTTTGCCTGAGTTGGGGCCTGCCAGACCCTAGAAAGCATAAGAGAAATGTTGCTTACTTGACGTACCTCGTGGAAGGCCGTTGCCAAGGAAAAATGGCTAGATTGTGTGGACATCCATACCACCTCGTCCGCCTGCTGCTTTATCAGGACCGGTGTACGTAGAACAGATGGGATAACCTCATGTGGAAACATTTGAGCCAACAAGTGCATGTTCCAGTGACCGTGAATGATGAAGTCACGAAAGGAGAGATTTAGTAACACGGGAGCACGGAGGAATAGTGCTCTACTAGCCAACCAATTGTCGTACCAAAAATGACACGAACCATCTTGAACCAACCACAACATCGAAAGTTCCACCTAGCGACTGACATCCAACATTCATCTCCAAGTCGCTGAAGCAAAAGGCTTAAGTTGTACCTAGCACGGGTGGACTCTCTGACAATACTTCTGGCGCATAAATGTTGCGCAAAGTGAGGTGCTTGTCCGAAACTGCCACCATAGCTTGTATGAAAAAGCAGTATAGATATCCATAAGCCGTCAAAAGCCGGCCTCTCCCTCCTCAGGAGGACGACACAATTTAGACTATCGGATCCAATGGTACCTCATTCCCAGGTCTGAGGATCCGCATAGAAAATTGGCACAAGTTCTCTCTATAGCGCGGAAGACAGCCTTGGGGCAACACTGCAGCCGAGAGCAAATGAATCGGGATAGCAAAAAGCACATGTCTAACCAAAGTGATTCTCCCCCCTGAAGATAAGAACTTCGACTTCCAGGACACAATTTGTGAAGAACACTCTGACATACCTCTGCAAAGTAGGACGTCTTACATCTCCCAATATAAAGGAGAAAGCCCAGATACCGAGTAGGGAACACCTGGCGCAGGACCCCGTAATCCTCTCGATAGCCCGAAGCCTTGCAATGGGAAAGGATGGATGAACCAAATAGCCACTCTTTTGTGTATTGACCAATTGACCAGAAGATTGTTGGTAAATTGCTAGAACCCTCATAATCCAGCGAAGGGAAGCGGAAGACCCATTTGCCAGGATAAGGACGTTATACCCAAATGCTAAATGAGTTACCGCAGGGCACTCCTGAGGAACCCTAAACCCTTAGTAGTACGGTTGTAAGGCATTGTTGTTCAACCCTCTTGATAGCAATTCCGCTCAAATGATAAACAAAGCAGGGGATAAAGGGTCCCCCTGGCGGTGACCTCTGCTGGATTTAAAGAACCCATACGACGCCCCACTAATCAAAATTGAGAACCAGTTATTTGAAATTAATCGCCAGGTCATATCGATAAAACACTCTCCAAAACCAAACTTTCGTAAAACTCTAGTGAGATGGAACCACGATACCCGATTATAAGCTTTGGCCATGTCCAACTTCAGTGCTACATTCCCCCCTTGTGACTTTTTCCAATACCTGCTAGAATTTTCTGAGTTAACAAGTAGTTCTCCATAATATTCCGACCATTAACAAATCCAGACTGTTGGGGAGAAATTATTTTCGGCAGGATAGCCGCAAGTCTATCAGACAAGAGGCGAGAAAGTATCTTATTAATGAAATTGCAAAGGCTTATAGGCTGAAAATTAGAGAAGTCCTGAGGATTTGGAACCTTTGGGAGGAGAACGATGGATGTCGATGTGATAAACCACGGCAAGTTTGCCCCACAGAAAAAACTCACTACTGCATTGTACACGTCCGTGGCGATAACATCCCATGCAAAGGTGAAAAATTTACCGGTGAATCCATCTAAGCCAGCCGCACTATCACCATCCATTGCATGCATCACTCGTTTCACCTCCTCCAAAGAAGGGATATCTTCCAGGGCTAGGTTGTCGTCACACGTGAGTACAGATGGGATAACGTGATGCAACTCCGAAATGGAGGCCTCCGTTTCAGAATACAAATCAGAAAAAAATCGAATAGCCTCAGCAGCAATATCGTCATCTCTCTCTACCTAATCTCCCTCCTCCATTTTGATTCAATGGATATAAGCTTGCACCCTCTTTTGCGTAATAGATGCATGGAGAAACTTGGAGTTTTGGTCCCCATTGGAGAGCCATTTGACACGAGATTTTTGACTCCAAAATTGTTCTTCTATAGCCAACGCATGGCGATACTCCGCCTGCGCCCTTCGGAGTTCAATACCAGCTTCTTCCAAATTGTCACTATCAGCAATCAATTCTGTTTGTGCCAACTGCGACTCTACCCCCTAACGACCTCAAATATGTTCCCAAACGAAGACTTGTTCCACTGCTGAGTAGCTCTCCTCGTGGCCAGGAGCTTGGCACACAACACCCTCCAGGGGGAGCCATTCGCGAGCAATACCCATGTATTCCGGATCACTTCCAACAGCGAGCCATTCGTTGTCCACACATTGAGAAATCGAAATGGTCATGGCTTATTATAATGACGAGTAGCAAATGTGATTTTCAGAGGCGTGTGGTCTGACGGATGTCTAGCCAAGTGGACCACTGACATGGAGGAAGAGAGATTCGCACATTCGCCATTCACTAGGAGCCGGTCCAAACGCTTCCAGACCTGAGCTCTACCTCACCTGTTGTTACACCAAGTGAAAGAGGGCCCCGAGAATCCTGCATCAAACACCTTGGCTACTTCCATGAATGACATAAAATCCAACCTTGCAGTAGGAGCAAAAGGTCGGCCCCCTCTTTTTTCGGAAGGTGCCAGAATCACATTAAAATCTCCTCCAATACACCATGGACGTACTTGTGGCTTATCACGTAATTGCACTGCCCATAAGTCCTTGCGTTCCTCAATAGAGGAACCCGCATGAACCCACGAGAGTACTAAAGAGGTAGACAGCAAAAGGTGACTGACATCTAAAGTAATATGTTGATCAGAGGACCCAATTAATGAGCAAGCAAATGGAGACATATAAAAAACCCATAAATCAGCGGACCTATTGACCATGACAAAATCAAATGCAATCCGCAACCTAATAGATTCAATTTTTGAAACATCTAGTTTAGGCTCACAAATTACTAGAAACTGAACTCCATGCAAGCGAAGTAATCTACGTAGTCTTCTAAAATTAGGAGCTTTCGAAACTCCTCTAATATTCTAGAACATGGCACTAATCATGACCCAACACATTAAACATATTTTGAGAAAATGTTGTCGAATGAAGTTGTCTATCGGAAGGAAAACGAGCATGCATACCTTTCTGCTTCACCCACGCAAATCCCTCCTCCACCTCAATAAACTGATCAATATTAACAGACATCATCAAGGAATCGTCTGATTGTCCAGGCATCGTCCCCATCCTTGGGGAGAATCCCAGCACTTCGCGGTAGCTCGCCGTTCGTATCCCCCGCCAAAACATACGGCTGCACTAGCGAAGGAGGCAGCAGTGGAGAAAGCTGAAAACCACCTTCAATGTCTTGGCCTGTTGCACCCTCGATATCACTCCCTCCCATATTTTCAGTCGAGGACAAACCTGAAGGGTTTTGCCATCCACCATTCGGGTCATTAGCAGCAGCCGTAGAAGGAGTTACAGCTCCCATTTGTTCCAAACTTCGCTTTCCAGAGACACCATCC